TCCGCCGGGTTGAGTTTGCATGAGAAGGCACATGGATGGAGTTTGGCTGGAGTCCCCTGCTGCTGAGAAATTACGGCTCCCACTCCTGTAGTGGAAGCGTCCACCTCTACCACAAATGGCTTAGTCGGGTCTGGATGGATGAGGAGTGGGGCAGAAGTGAAGGCTTTCCTAAGTGCTTCAAAGGCCTCCGTGGCCGCTGGTGTCCAGGACAGAGATTTGGCCTTATTTTGGAGCATGTTAGTGAGTGGACTGGTTATGGAGCTGTAGTGGTAGATGAATCTTCTATAGAAGTTTGCGAATCCCAGGAAGCGTTGAAGTTCCTTGACGGTGGTTGGAACTGGCCAGTTTCGGATGGCATCAACCTTCCCCTCGTCCATCTGGATACCACCGTCATCGATGACATAGCCAATGAACTGCACTGAGGACTGATGGAAGGAACACTTCTCGCCTTTGAGGAACAGATGAAACTCTCGCAGGCGTTTTAGGACCTCCGCAACGTGGTGGCGATGTTCGGCCATGCTCCGGGAGTAGATTAGTATGTCATCAATGTAGACGAGGACGAACCTGTGCAGATACTCCCAGAGTACCTCGTGCATGAAATCCTGGAATACGGAGGGGGCGTTTATCAGTCCATACGGCATGACAAGATATTCATAGTGCCCAGTAGGGGTCACAAAGGCGGTCTTCCACTCGTCCCCCTCACGTATCCGGATGAGGTTGTACGCGCTGCGGAGGTCTAACTTGGTGAAGACGGTGGCTCCGTGGCGATGTTCCAAAGCCACTGGAACGAGGAGAAGTGGGTAACGAAACTTCACCGTGCCTTTATTTAGTGCCCGGTAGTCGATGCAGGGCCTCAAACCTCTGTCCTTCTTGGCCACAAAGAAGAAGCTGGAAACAGCAGGGGACGTGGAAGGGCGGATGTAACCTTGCTGTAAAGCCTCTTCGATGTACTCCTCCATGGCCTTCTGTTCAGGGAGTGACAAGGGATAAATCCTTTCATGGGGCACTGGCTCACCCGGAATCAGATCAATGGCACAGTCCCATGGCCGGTGCGGAGGTAACTGGGAGGCTTTCTTCAGGCAGAATACATCACTGAAGGGGGCATAGCAGGCTGCAATGTCGACTGACTGTTTATCGACCGGGCTTTCTATGGAGGTGGAGCAGAGTGTGAGGGCCTCGGAGTGGAGGGGTGATGGCTGAGGAAGATGAGGGAAACAGTCTGGAAAGCAGGTACTGCCCCACTTCAGGACCTCACCAGTTCTCCAGGAGATGGTAGGGTCGTGTTGCACCAACCAAGGACGCCCCAAGATCACATCAGCGGTGGATTCCTCCAGAACCAGGAGATGGGGTGTTTCTTCATGCAACTGACCAACTTGCAAGAGTAGTGGACCCACGCTGTGACGTACATGCCTTCGGCTGAGTGGTTTTTCACCTGGTAGGTGGTCTTGGTGGTCGTGGTTGGGAGATTGAGTTGGCGGCAGAGATTCCCGGAGATGAAGTTCCCGGCTGAGCCAGAGTCGAGGAGGGCATGTACTGGAAAGGAGATTTCGGAGGCAGTAAGTTTTACAACAGTGGTGAGGGGCTGCATATTAACTATTGATGGCTTAATGACACTCACCATAGGTCGTGGCGAACGAATAGGGCATGCCGCGATTACATGCCCCCAGCTCCACAGTACAAACATAAGCTCTGGCTCAGCCATCTCTGCCGCTCCCAAGGGGAGAGTCGAGTGCTGTCCACTAGCATGGGTTCGTGTCCTGGTTCTGGAGGGCTGATGGTGTCTGGCCGACGAAGGAGTGGAGTGTATGGTGGGAGTTGATGTTCTGCAATGCAAGATTGCATACGAGTAGCGCAGCGGATGGATAATTGTATAAACCGTTCCAAGCCACAGGAAACATCATAGGCTGCGAGCTGAAGTTGCACCTTCGGCTCCAGTCCTCGCCGGTAGGTGGTCAGAAGTGCACGCTCATTCCAGCCGCTGGCTGCTGCGAGGGTCCTGAATTTTAGGGCGTAATCATTGATGGACAGAGACCCTTGATGGAGATGATATAACTGGTCACAGACAGAGGTATCACCTATGGGTTTACCAAATACTTCTCTGAAATGTGCAATAAAGATGTGGCTGCATCTCCAGTGCGAGCGACCACTGCAGCAGAAATCCGTTGCACTCCTCCGCCAAGCCAGAGAAGGGCGCTGGTGTGGCCATGGGACCGGTAAGTACTGTCATGGAAGAGGAAGCGGCGTTGGTGACGGGCATGACAGGTAGTGTGACAATGGCAGGGGTGAGTATCCGTTTGAGGGCATCCACAATCTCCTGAAACGGGTCGGATGCACTCATCTTGCTGAATCCTTTGTGGTCCGGCCTTCCAGGGGTGAGTATCCGTTTGAGGGCATCCACGATCTCCTGGAACGGGTCGGGTGCACTCATCTTGCTGAATCCTTTGTGGTCCGGTCTTCTGTTACGGAAGGAGACTCACACAGAGGATTAGAAAAATACTATATAGTTTATTTTCAACAAGGAGTGCAGATGGTTCGGGCAGGTGAGTAATAGAGCTGAATATCAGTCTTTAAGGATGATGAGGGGAGTAACACCGTATATGGTCCTTCAGGAGATCGTGGAATGGAGACAGAGGACTGCACACACCTCAGTAGAAGGGTACACGGAGCTTTCACGGAGTGGATGACTGGAACGGACTAGGGAATGGGACACAGGAGAACACACTGGAGGAAACACAGGAGGTAAATATAACAGGAAGGTAAGTCTTTCAATGTATCTCATGGATAGCATAGAGAGTTCACTTCGTATGAATGAGACTGGACACTGGAGTGAAGTGAGGTGTGTGCTTTTGAAGGGTGGCTGATGATGATTGCAGATTAGTGACAGGTGCGTGCGATCAGTATTCAGGTGAAGGTGTTCGCTGTGATTGGGAGGTGGCTGAGCCTGGCCGATCCGTGACAGTACGAGAGGCCATGCTGTGTCGTTTACTGTTGCTGTCAGGAACTATTTTTTAGCGAAAGGACAGCATTTAAGGAACTTGCTTCAAAAAAAGTAACATTTCAATACATACATTTTTGGTTTTAATATTTTTTATTGTGTGGTTACTGTTTTATATTGCGTTATATTGCTTTTGCATTATTATTATTATTATTATTAATAAAGAATTTGTTGTATACATTTTTAATGGAAGATTTGAATTATTTTGTAGAAGTTATTTGTTTCAGATTATTGATTATTAATTTAAAGTTATTTTATTTTTATTTTTTTATCATTTAGTTATTTCTTTATAAGATTATTAATTTTAAGTTATTTTATGTTGTAATTATATTTACAAATGTTACTTTTTTTACTGTATTTTTGATTTATTATTATTATTATTATTATTATTATTTGAAGGAAGATTTGCAAACATATACATAAGAGTATACTATCATTGTCACTCAGTCATGCTCTGGTTTCCATATAGTACTAAAAGAAAGTCCCACCGCTTTCTGAATTATTTATATAGAGGTGCTCAGAGCATAGAGCACATTGCAATCATGTAGTTATCTGGCTGACCCAGATATCTTCACTCATCAGCTGATGAGACCTGCTTGAGCCACACTACTTATTCAGACTGAGGCCTAGAATCCAGAACCTTGGCTTAGATCCTGTATTTTTTATAGCCAGGCAGCCACGGAGAATTTGGCTTAAAATAGTGGACCCGTTTTATGTTGCTCTTAACAGATGATGGTTTGAAGAGGGACTAGAGGGAATTACAGCGACAAAGTCAGAATTTATTCACCAGCTTCTCCTGAGCAGATTAGATTCAGTTAAAAATATGAATGGCCCTGCCAGTGGTGTCCAGACAGCAGCCATGTAATCTCATAAGAAACCAGAGAAAGTTAACAATTGTTGGTATGAAGTGTGTCCAAGATGTTTATTAACAGCTGTGTGAAGGTGAGTGTAGATGAACTTTAAAATATAGTTTAAAGTTAATAAGAACATAGAGCAAAAAAGTTTAAACTACTACAGTAAAAAAAAAGGATATTTGTAATACTAGATTTGCTGAATACTATGGATTTTGTACTTTTTCTCTTTTAAATACTAAGAAAGAGTCTTAATTCTGAATAGCATACTAACATACTACTCTTACTATTTCTGCAATGCATGTAGTATGTAGCATGTACGCTAGTATGTTATTCTGAATTCAGCCCATGTTATGGCTAGGTGACTGAAGATAGCTACCAAGTTAGCGCTTGTTAATATGTGAAAAAAGTTGTCCATGGATAGCCTGTTGTGCTCTTTCATCTGTGGATTTGATAGCTGGGTTTCTGTCTTGCAAGGTAAGGTACGTTTTACATTTTGTAAGACCAAAAAATCAAGATCACATCAGTTAGCTTTGGTCATAGTAGCAGCATGCTAGGAAAACACAGTTTGTATCAAATTTTAGGAGGCAAAAGGACACTTAATACACTGTGAACTGTGAAAAGTATTCGCGTTTGAGCTAATGTGTAGCGAGTAAACTAACCATTTAGTTTCCATTTGTTTGCTGACTAAACACATTTCCACAACAGTGTTTTGATATATCAGATATATTGATATTTCTGTTGTGCATGGAAAACTGAATATACAGGAATTTGTCAAAAACAACATTTAGAAAAAACAGGACACACTTGCTTCTAATATTCTGTAATGGTTCATTTGTGCTCTTATTTTCTCTTATATTCTTGTGTAACTAACCTGCTATCATTTTGTAGAAGAAAAGACTCATTCATAAAACTTTGATAGACTGAATTACACAGACCGCTTCTTTTATATATATATATATATATTTCAATTAAAATATTTTTTCACCCAAATGAATAAGAAAAATAAATTCTGTCACAGACAAGTTTGCCCAAAATGATTGCTTTATTATCATAATTTTGCCCACTCCAAGATAAAATCCAGCAAGATGTGAATGAAAGAAAAAAGCAGCAATGATTTAGTCACAAATTTCCTTTGGTTCTACTGACAGATCTTATTCAATATTCATAAGAACATGACAGTTTGACATATTTAAAATTGTGAATTAGGTCTTTGTGATGTGATCTGACATTAAACTGCTAAATCAAACCACAAAATCCCAGTTGTCTACTTTGTGAAGGAAAACGAATCTATCCTCTTATAAGCTAAACATACAGCGAGCCTTAACAAGGGTGACAAGTTGTAGGTATCCAACCTAATGTCTTCAGTGCAAGATTTATGAAAGAAAGACAATTTAGCAGCCTCGATTGAAATACAGTATAGCAAGCTAATTTTCACTGTTCTCAGGGGTCATGCAAATACCAAACACATAAAAAAAAAAAAAACTAAGAACAACTTCTATCGCCTCTTAAAGTTTTCAGCCCTAAACATGAGTTTTATACATCTATAGTGCGCAAAGCCTTCTGAGAATCAACAGTTGAGGTTCCACCTTGTAAACATTGCATTCTTACTGTAAACTGTCTTATTTATGGTAAGACAGTGATTTTTCTCAAAGTCACACAAAAATTACATCGATTTTATGCATGTTTCAGACAGTGTCATTGATATTTGTATTGTTCATTGTTCATGTGTATGTGTGTATATATATGTATATTATGAATATCCACAGTTCAGTTAACATCCTCTCGGCTCTGTGCAGTTGTAACTTCAAAGTGAGATTATTTCTCTGGCCTACTTCTCTGTTCAAAGTCAGATAGTTACAGCTACCTTTCTCACTATGTCCTGATTAAAGAGAAACGGCCTTCTGCTGCAGTCACTACATACAGTATAAACACTATGCAGTCTTTCTACGACCATACTGTATGTAGCCCATATGCACAGCAGCACTCAAAATGCGGCCGGCTATTCACTCTCGTTCTTGCCATTTAGATTTTTTTCCACTGCAGTGGATTATGAGAATATATTCAAGGACATATTTTAGGTCATTCCAATCCTTAAGTTACTGAAAATAAAGATCATACACCAGTGTGTTCTTGAATAAGACAAAGTGTTTTTCTGGTTGAAATTGTCATACCCGCAATATTTGCACTGAACAGTGCAATGTGTTACAGGAACAAGAATTGACAGTAACCTCAGATCACCATATAGAAAATCTGTTGGTCAAAGTAAAGTCAAATATTATACACATACATCTCTTTTTTTCTACTACTGTATTTTACAGTAAATCCACATATTGTTTGATGACTGTCTAGGACAGGGGTCTTCAACAGTGGGACTGAAAGGGGTCTTCAATTTTTGTTAATGTTAAGCTATTTTTGTGAAAGAAATAAACAATGTTGTAATCAAAATCAAGCTAAATATTTAATTGTTCTGCTTACATTAAAAATATTAAGTGATTAATATTATTATTATATTACATTGCCCTACATCATATTTGCTGAATGAAATCCAATACTTGTTTCTTACTAATTTTGGGGTGCTGATTCAAAAATAGTGCCTGTTTTGCGTTAGCACGTCACACTTTCTCACAAAATATGATGAATTTAGTAGCATATCTGCTTTCAACAACCATTTCTAAGGTGAAGAAGTCTTGAAATAAACTTAAAAACTGCCACAAAGACATGATTTCTATTATCCTCTGAGCCAGGCTGCAGCTATTTATTAAATTCTCAGCCAGTTTTCACATGTATAAATGATTCTGAAGACATTATTTTATACCTACTCCTGATTTCAAGATTAGAATTATGACCAGTGATAGAAAAGAATGCAAACACGATCAGATGTTTTCAGCTACATCTATTGGTTTTACTACATCCAAATAGTGACAGAAAATGAACTCAGCATCATAAAAGTCAGTAATATTAGCTTTTTTTGCAGATCAGCAGAGTTTTCCCCCCAAGACATAGGGCTGTGTAATAATTACTTAATGGCTCTTCCAACAAAAAATTGCATTATATTTTAGGCCAGGCCTGAAACGCAGCTGTGTATCCACGAAGGGTGTGGTTTGAAAAAGGTTGAAGACCGCTGATCTAGGAAAACAGAGAAAACTATGGCATGGTGGACAAACACTGTATTTACTGTATACTTTAACTTTATACAAGTAGCACAATTGCTTTGGGTTTTACCTGTACATGAAAAGTAAAATTGTACATATTCATACACTATTCAATTCACTACCATAAATCTAATAACCTCCAATAAGGGGTTTCAATCAACTAAAGAGATACTAGAAAAGTCTCAGTCAAGTAAAATTCAAGCCTTTCATTATATAGAGGCTATAGGCTTTTGTGTGCCTTCATTTCTTAATGACTCTTTCAATTCTGTAAGCATGCAAGCTATTTTCATTGGTTAAGACAGAAATCGGATTCGGTCCAAATGGCGTCCTCCTGCTTTCTAATGGCCGTGCATACAAATGCAGAGAGATCGCAGACCCTGGTAGAGCCCAAACGCTCTACACATAATCTCATTACCAGTGAGTCAAAGGAAATGGCCTGGGCCAAAGGATAAGGCCTTCAGTGAATGTGTGCTGTTAGACTTCTCTCCGTAATGGGATCATATACTCTGACATAGAAAAATAAATAAATGAATATTTAGAGCAGCACTTAAATAATTTAACAAGTTCTAAATTTGCTTCACCGCTGAGTAGTCTTATGTACAATAAGAAAAAAACAGCAGAATCTTCCCTGCAAAAAAAAAAATGTAAACAGACGATTTAAGATCTCAAATACATAAAAAAAAGTACATCTACCCAGTAACACAACATTTCTTTGACAGGTGTTTATGCATTAAATATATTCCAAAATGTGCATTATAATTAATTTATGTTTCTTTGATGTAATTGCATATTCTTTTTTTGTCAAAATTGTGAAACTGATCAGATTAAAAAAACACTTACAAAAGAATGGAGCGTGTCCACTGAAAAACCAGGGACCTCCACTCATTATTTGTTAAAGTCTCTGATGGTTAAGGTGGACAGCTCTTGAGAGCCTAGCAGCACTGTGTTTTTACAGAAGTTCATAAGCAGTTTGCACCTGGCAGGGCCGGACGGTGTCTGTCGTCCAGTTACTGGCCAGCTGCACGGGCTTTCTGCTGCAGTAACGCAGCCCTCTGCTCCATCATGGCTCTCATCATGGTGGGGTTAATAGCTGGACTCATAGCTGGGGACAGGGGCCGCAGTGGATATTGGCTGGATTTAGAACTCATTAAAACACACTGGAAGTATGGTATCTTGCCTGTAATACAAAGAATGAGTGATTCTCAGTTCTGAAATAAAATAAAATAAAATAAAAACTGATCAAATGAACGTCTAAAAAAAACATTTATACATTTATTGCAACAACAAAACAGAATTTAGTTTTGTGTAATATTTATTATAATAAAAACTATTATATATACATACATGCATACATTATATATATACATGCTAAGTAAATAAATAAATACACAAAATCCAGGTTCAAACAACAACAACAAAAAAAAATAATAACGATGATAACCGAAAGCTATTGTGTCTTTAATCATATAAAGTTGTGCTTGAGGTTTGTTTTGCAGCAGGTTACATGCTGAAGGTTTCTGTAGCTAAACAAACAAACAAACAAATAAAACAGTTCTAAAAATAAATATATAGATTTACTGTTATATCAAAAAAAGTGTTTAGTTTTATTTTGGTCCTATATTTTTATAATTAAAAACTATTCAACATTATATATAAAGTATTTATTATTGTATTAAAATATTCCATACGACTAAATAAATAAATCACAAAATCCAGGTTCAAATAAATAAACAAACAAACAAAAAAATAACAATATTGCATCTAAAGTTGTTCTTTAGGTTCGTCCGGCAACAGGATACATGCTTTGCAAAATTGCATATTGCAATGCAACATTATGATGTACAATGTTACAGAGGATTTCTGTAGCAAAACTATAATGCAATATATTGTGTTGACAAATTAAGCAGAATTAGATTAACTTTACCTGGCTTTTTCCCCTCTGTGACATTTTCCTCCGCTTTCAGATCTTCTAGTTGTTAGAAAGAGAAATTGAAGAAAAACTGTACTCATTTCAATATATATTATGCAGACGCAAATCTGTAAATGACAGGGCAATGACTTTCAGTTTAGTATAGAATATCTGTTAATGTGACATTTAGTTATCAGGGTTGTTATGAGGAGACAGGACAAAGCTCAGTTCTCAGAGGAACAATTTTTACATGCAGCAGACCATGATATCTGCAAATACCCACTGAGGCAGTCGAAGACTTGAATTTTAAAGTAATGGCAACCTTCAAAAGCTACTTTAAATGGATGAAAACCAGGCTGTGAATAAAGTCACTTGAGACCTTGGGGGGGATTTCAAATCCTTAAACTTATTTCTCAAGGAGAAACACATGTTTATATTAAAGAGAATTTCTTAGTGAACTAGTAAGAAATTGTCATCTGAAGAGTAAGTGGCACTGTAACAATACAAAAAGTTGCATTTGCAGATGAACTGAGGGCTTTGTCCTGATCAAAGCAATTTGCCATTGTAATGTTGCATTGCATACAGAAGGAATCAGAAAATAGACATAAAAACTAAGGAGGAAATTCAGAGTGTACTGTGCCCAAAGACAGCATGCCAGATTAACATAATCTGTTTTCATAATCATCCTTTTTTTTTTTTTTTTTGCTGTTTTATCTATACTTTCTTAACCCTTAAAGTCTGACGTATTTTATTGAGCCTTCATACAAAATATTATTATTATTTTATTTATTTATTTTTGAATATCATATTTGATACTTCAGGCTTTTATGGTTCACATAACATGATATAGGAGAATATGGTGCTCATACATGAGGCCCAAACTGAGCAAAAATGTGCAATTTGCCGATATTTATACGCCCAAAAATTATGATGAAATTCTGGTAGCTTGTAATGTAAATCAATGGGATCTGTCACTATATCTCACAAAATTTGTCTGAGATCATACTGGAAATTTGTGTATTTTGTGCATACTTATTTTTACTGGAAAATAAGACGATTATACTGATTCAATTATGTTTTTCAGTGAATAGTGCCTTGTTAAATCAGACTGCAAGTGGTTTGTGAATAAGACCCAGGGTTTTTACTGAGATAACGCACTAAATTGGCACAACGGTTAGTAAATTTGACTCTAACAAGCAAGTCAAGTGATTTGTGTAAAAAAGTACAGTAGGTGGGTGTTAGAGTGAAATTAGGAGTTCACCGGGCCAAACTGCCAGCAGCATTATGGCGCTTTTCCACTGCATGGTACGGCACGGTACGGCTCGGTACGGTTCACTTTTGGGGGGTTTTCCACTGGGTACAGT